AGACGTGCACGCTCCGTGTAGACGTGCACGCTCCGTGTAGATGTGCACGAGGAGTCAGCTCTGTTAACGCGACAAATCGCTTCAGTTTTCAGGAGAAAAACTGAAGATCTGCAGGTTTCCAGTTGAACCAGTTGAACCAGTTGAACCAGTTGAACCTCCTGAAGAAAGTCTCAGTAATTTATATTTTTATTAAATTTTTGAACATTTGATGGACAAATAGAAACACCTGACAATCAAACTGATCTGTTTTAATATTTAGGTTTCTGTCATAAAGACGACAGAAACACGTCCAGTTGATGACTCTCAGCTACCACCACCTCTGGTTTTGAGCAGCCGTCCTGACTGGTTTAGAAACGGATCAGTAATTAAACGTGTTCACTGMTTTGTGAAATATTTTGCTAACAGAGTTTTCATCTGCTCTGTCGCCACGTTTTAGCCCAACAGTAACGATGTCTGAGCTGTAGCTGTTTTTCTGTTGGCTAACGTTCATTAGCCGTGGTGGCCATCTTTGTTCTGGTGGATGGAACGTTGGAGCTGTTGGTCCGGTCCAGTCTGGGTGACAGGCTGGTCTAATCCCCTTGTCGGTCTTGGATGACCTGAACCTTCATGTTGGGTTTTGGAYTCTTCAACTCGGTGGTTTTTTTCCAACATCTGTTGACCCCAGACCTGGTCCAACCCAACAGCCTGACCCCCCAACTGTTGGTCCGGTCCAGTGGGTCTACAAGGTTTTAGACGGACCAACATTAACTCTAAAACCTGGACTCTGAAATCTTTTCTTTCAAAAAGAGTTTTTCAGAAAAGAGAGAAAAATATAAAAAGTCTTAAAAATGAAGTTAAATTAATCTAAATGTTTRTTATAATTAGGAACCAGGAGATAAACGTGATTAAAGTTTTAGAGTTTAATCTGACCTCAGAGTTCATCTTTTTGTTTAATCTCATGTCAGATTGAAGATCCTGACTTTAAAAAGTGTTTTGCTGCAGCAGAAAGTTTTCAGCCATCGATTTGTTGGCAGGTTGTCCTTGGAGGAGACCGGACCGGAGCGGAGGGTCTGTCCCCGGCGGGCCCACCACGGTCGGTGCCGACGAGCTGCAGCCGTGCGTCCTGCAGCTCTGCAGCTTCTTCTCTCAGTGCCTCTGCAGAGCGCTGCGCCGGAGGACGGCGAGGAAAAGGTTTGTTTTCACACCGTCCTCATCAGGACAACGCTCCTGCAGAGCCCAGGCTCAAGAAACGATGGAGGCTGAGAGAGAAGAATAAAACTCAACACCTGAAACATCCACCGCACACTTTAAAACACCTCTCACATCCAGGAAAATATATTTTATTTAAGAACCTTGGCATAAAACACATGATTTTACCTGTTGTGTCACATAACTCTCATTTTCTCTTGAATCTGGCTCAGCTAAAGTGAAACAGGAAGTGACATCAAAGGGGAACTCTGAGAMAGAAAACTTCCTGGACTTTGTTTATTTAAACGATATAATTTGACCTTTGACTCATCTCTCTATGACAGAGATTAAAATAATCTAAAGAAACATCAGATTATTCTCTACAGTCTGAGCTGTTAGCCACCACGCTCTGTTCACATGCAGACATTCCCCTCTGACATCACTTCCTGTTACTGAACATGCAAATATTTCAACTGTTCATCTCAGAAGTTAAATAATTTTTCATCAGTTTTATCTTTCCAAAAATACGTTCATATTTATTACAAAAAAATGATGTCACAGGCACTTCATGAATCAACACAAACAAGTCGCTCATTGTTTCAGAAACTCCACATTAAAAGAACAGGAAGTTGTTTCAAAATAAGAGTCTGGCTTATTAGTTGGAACCTTTTAAAATCAGTTTTTCTCTGACCTGATCAGGACTTTGTTTTGTTCTGACAGTTTTTGTGACGACAGCCACCTGTGGTACGAGACGCACACGTCTGAAGTTTGTCGACGAGTCAAGAGGATCGCTCTGTCCAGAAGTAAGAGTCGCAGAAAACTTTATTTAAACCGTGAGTTCAGAGACGAGAACTGTAAACTTTGACTTTTCAGGTCTGAAACAAAGATGTTTGTCAAAGATGTGCAACAAGCTGTGATCAGAGAAGAAGAGGAGGAATAATTCTTCATCCAAGGACGTGGTTTGGTTCACAACAATTAAAAACAGAAGAATTAGGAAATAATCCACCGTCTGTTTGGGAAAAAAACTTTTTAGTTAAAGAAACAAACTCAGTTTTTTTTTGTGACTTTTTTTTAAACATCTGTTTTTTTTAAATCTCTGGTTAGTTGAAGCTCATTTTATGTTTTTAAATCTATTTTTGTTTAAAATAAATGATTTTATAAACTTTTAGGTTCAAACAGTTTCTTCAGATTTAATCTGTTAATCTGTAGAAACCATCATGGCCGCACGATCAAGACTTTAACAGATTACAGCACGTGTCAAACTAAAGGCCCGCGGGCCARAAGTGGCTCACAGGTGACTCCCGTTTGGCTCGCCAAGCCCCGTATAAAAATAGTTTTAATTTTAAAAATGATAAAATAAATTTAAAATCTGAAAGCTGAAACCTGTCCTGTTGGCTTTAAGTAACTGAGTAAATGTKACCCCCCCCTGCTGGACCCCACCTGCATTTAAGACCTGAGCAGAACCAGGACCAGGAAAAGCTCAGGTGGGCCCAGGAGCAAAAAACCAACCAACAGGTAAGATTTTACTTTTTAACGAGCTCCGAATCGTCTGAGAAAACAGCAGGTTTGACTCAGTTCAGATAAAATCCACTTCTTACAAACTCACCTTGTTTCAGCTGTTTTCAGTCATTTCAGCTGTTTTCAGTCATTTCAGCTGTTTTCAGTCATTTCAGCTGTTTTCAGTCATTTCGGCAGTTTTCAGTCATTTCGGCTGTTTTCAGTCATTTCAGCTGTTATCAGTCATTTCGGCTGTTTTCAGTCATTTCGGCTGTTTTCAGTCATTTCAGCTGTTTTCAGTCATTTCGGCTGTTATCAGTCATTTCGGCTGTTTTCAGTCATTTCGGCTGTTTCTGTTGGTAAACACCAGCAGTTTTTGGCAACATGTTTAATTTTAATCTTTTTAATTTCAGTCTTCAGTAATTTGGAGATGTGATGTTTCTGACCTTTGACCTCCTGCTAATGATTAACTCTTTCTGCTGTTTAACACTTTCAGCTAATGTTTAACACTTTCAACTAATGTTTAACTCTTTCTGCTGTTTAACACTTTCAGCTAATGTTTAACACTTTCAGCTAATGTTTAACTCTTTCTGCTGTTTAACACTTTCAGCTAATGTTTAACACTTTCAGCTAATGTTTAACTCTTTCTGCTGTTTAACACTTTCTGCTAATGTTTAACCCTTTCAGCTAATGTTTAACCCTTTCAGCTAATATTTAACTCTTTCTGCTAATGTTTAACTTTCAGCTGATGATTACATATTTCAGCTAATAATTAACTTTTTCAGCTAATGTTTAACTCCTCTAATGTTGAACTCTTTCAGCTTGTTTAAAATTTTCAGCTAATGTTTAACTTTCAGCTAATTAACGTTTTCAGCCAATGAGTAACTTTTTCAGCTTATGGTTACCTCTTTCAGCTAATATTGAACTCTCAGCTAAGAATTAACTCGTTCTTCTAATGTTTAACTTTTTCAGTTAATGTTTAACTCTTTCAGCTAATAATTAACTCATTCTTTTGATTAACTTTTTCAGAAAATGATTAATTCCTTCAGCTAATAACTCGTTCTGCTAATGTTTAACTCTTTCAGCTGATGTTTAACTCAGCATACGTTATTTTTCAGCTAATAATTAACTTTTCAGCTGATTATTAACTCTTTCAGCCAATGATTAAGTAACTCTTTCAGAAATCCTTTGTACGATGAGTTTTTAAATGTAAACATTATTTTCCTCTACAGGTGCTTCTTGTTTTATGTTTTCAGCTGTTTTTTTTTTTTTTAGCTACACGATGACTCATCAGTTTCCAGCTGATGTTGGACTTCATTTTGTCCTCGGTCCGGACCTGGAGGGCAGCAGCCGACACACAGAATCTGTGAGAATCATGTTTTATTAATTTTTAAAATAAATTGTTGSCATTTGAACGGTCACGACACGCAGCTAAAAGTTTTTAATTAGTGAATCAGCCGAAGGTTCAGTGAGCCGAAAAGAAAAGTCGATGTTTTGTTTGAGCCTCAGGGAGAGAAACGTTTCTTTCTGAGGATTTACTTTAATAYAAACGACTTTAATTTGCTCTTATCTGCGTTTTATGAAAGCTTTTTATTCAGGAAACAGAATGACATTTCAAAATAAAAGCCTTTTCAGTTGAATCTTGAGAAATGATGATGGGAGAATCCTTGATGGAGACACTTTATTTTATTGAACAACATTTTTAACATGAAGCTCTGCAGTTTCCATCAAACTGAACCAGTTTGATCAAYCTCAGATTAGTCTTAATTTTAAATTAAGCCTTTAATCTGAGATTAACACCTCTGGTTCTGACAGACGAGACGTTTTATCTAAAACATTAATTTAATCTGGATTTCCCTCAAGAAKAAAAACACTTCTGATCTGATCGGGGTGAGTTTTAAAGTGCAAACACTGAAATGCTTCATCTGAACTTTTTAATCTGATATAATCTGGATTAACAAACCAAAGTAACACCACAGATGTTAAAACTGTTCAGGTAAATAAATGTTTATATTTAAAGTCATAAAAAAGTAAACAACATTTTAACATTTCTCTCCATCCAGACGACGTTTCAACAACATGATGCATCAAATGTACAAAAATATATGATCTGCAGCGACGACCGGACCGGACCGGACCGGACCGGACCGGACCACTGCACGTCTGTCGGAGCGCTGCTTCTACTGCTGGTGAGAACATGAAGACTCAAACATTTCCACCTGTTTTTATTTCAGGACAAAAACACTGAAACATTAAACACAAAGATAATCTGTAATCTGACCCTCCTCCTGCTGGTCTCGGGTCTAATCCAGGGGCAGCAGGAGGATTAAAGCTGGTTCTGAAGTCCTGGACTCTCTGGGCCGACTCTGTTCCACGGTTAAAGGAAATTTTGGTCAGATTAAACTCAGATTAAACCAGATTTATAAACCTGTGAAACAATGGAATAAACTCAGATTAAACCAGGGCCTGTATTTATCAAAGTTCTTAGAGTGGATTTTTAGACTTAAGTGCTGAAAATCTCTTAGATTTACTCCTAATCTCAGATTTAAGTGCCACTTATCAAAATTCTTAAGTCTAAGAATCASTTTTAATCTCATTTCGGACCGAGCAGGGTTGTGCGTAAACCTCTGAAACACTGGAATAAACTCAGATTAAACCAGATTTATAAACTTTGGAAATGAGGGAATAAACTCAGATTAAGACAGTGTCAGATTAAATGGGTCTAACTCATTAAAAAAAGCAGAGATTAAGACTACAGCAGAACCCTGGATTATTCTGAGTTTAAAGTTCTGGTGCTGGAGGAGCAGAAACGGGTCAGATCTGTTTGGAGCCTTAAAGAACTTTAAGCATCAGTGGACCCGATCAGAACCAGAACACGACCCGGTCCTTCCATGAAGGAGCAGAGCAGATGTTTGAGGAGCAGCTGGAGGCGACGTCACGTTAAGCTTGGCTTCATGAAATGTTCTGTTTGACCCGACTCAGGACGGATCAGTACACACACAGGTCCGGGAACTTCATCTCGTAGACCGGGACCGACGGGTGCTGAGTGTGTCCCGCAGAGAGGGACACCACACCGGACGGRCTGGGGGGGGGCCTGGAGGAGGGGGTGCAGAGGAGTCAAACCATCGCATTAAAGTTTCTGCTATAAAACACAAACCCTTCAAAATAAGAGTCTGCTTTAAAACACAAACTCTTCAAAATAAGAGTCTACGTTTTAAAAATATTTCTGCTATGAAACACACTCTTCAAAATAAGAGTCTTCAAAATAAGAGTCTACATTTTAAAGCAGTTTCTTGTATGAAGCACAAACTCTTCAAAATAAGAGTCTACATTTTAAAGATGTTTCTGCTATAAAAAACACTCTTCACAATAAGAGTCTCAGTTTTAAAGCAGTTTCTTATTTAAAGTATAAAAAGTGTAAAGTCAGTCTTCAGGACGATGACGTTAAAGTGGTTTTAAACCAGTTAAAAAGTGGTTTTAAACCAGTTAAAAAGTGGTTTTAAACCAGCTGAACGTCTGAAGTGTGAAGAACTGACCGGATGGTGAGCTCAAAGATCTGGGCCAGGCGGCTGTGCAGCAGGTTGGCCTGAAAAAGAAACACGAGTCGTCAGTTTTAGTTTCCAGGAACCTCAGATGGGGCGTTGATGGTTTGTTTCCTACCTTGGACTCGCAGTGAGCGGCCAGCTCCTCAAACGGAGCTTTCTGAAACTTCTCCATCACCTGGCGCCTCCTCTCCTTCTCCTGCTCCTCCAGACCCGTGGTGTCTGAAAACAAACGGGTCAGTTGGGTCAGATCTACGGCTTCCTGTCAGAACGACTCACTTCCTGTGAGAGAAGCTCCTCCTCCTCACCGATGGCTTTCTTCAGCGTCTCGAAGGTGATCTCCTCGGCCAGCTGGGACTGGAAACAGAACAGAAGCTGATCCTGGAGGAACCTGACCTGATCTGGGTCAACGTCTAGTTTTTAGTTTTAAAACCCAACCTGATCTGGGAGACTGTTGGACATGATGTCCACCTGCAGGGAGATGGTGTCCACAAAGCTCTTCCTCCTGGTCAKACGGTCTTCATCTGGACAGAAACAACTTTCATCAGGTCCTGCAGGGGTTTTAATTAAAATAAAGGAACCTCCTGAGAACCAGGAGAACTCAAACATTAAACCTCTGCAGGAGGTTTAAAGAACAGGAGGGGTCAGACCAGGTGTGAAAATAAAGAGAAACCGGTGCTGCAGCAGCTTCATCATTAACTTTCTGCATGAGTCATGAGACCTTTGCTGTGCGCCGAAGCATGACTCAGCAGGCATGACTCAGCAGGCATGACTCAGCAGTCTGTCAAACAACAAAACTCAGAAAATTCACTTTTAAACAAGACTCTGATGCTTCTGTATTCTTTTACTAGAAAATCAGTCCAATAAAAGGTGGAACTAAACTAAAGGAGCAGATCAGACATGTTGGACTCACCACAACATCCAGGTGTGACGCAGGTAAAACAAAAAGTCAAGGTGTTATTGGTTAAACACATCCTCTCTACACATCTACCTTCAGACACTCACTAAACATCTTATTTAAACATCTAACTTTCCTAACAGAGCMCTTCACTCTCAGACTGCAGGTTTACTTGTGGTTCCTGGAGTTTCTAAAAGTAGAATGGGAGGCAGAGCTTTCAGTTATCAAGCTCCTCTCTTGTGGAACCAACTTCCAGTTTCTGTCCGTGAGGCTGACACTCTGTCTACACACAAACTGAACACATTTCTTCACTCTGCTGATTGTATTATTAATTATTTATATCAATAAAATGCATTTCTTTCTCCACATAGGAACCATCAGAATTTATCCTGAGCCATAGGAACCACACCTGGACCATAGAAACCACACCTGGACAATAAAGACTAACCCTGGACCATAGAAACTACACCTGGACCATAAAGGCTAACCCTGGACTATGGGAACTATAGGAACTATGGAAGCTGAAGTCTTCGTTATGAACAGGAAAGTGTTTTAATAATCAGGCGACCAATCAGAGCAGAGGAAGTTACTTCTAGGTACTATTAGTTCCATTACAGTACCATCTTCCACGAGTTGATTAATAAAGAC